AATAAAAAAATAAAATAATACTATAAAAACTGAATATCTTTCATACGTTAGTAAGGGGAAGATGTTTAAAATAATTCTGGAGGATTTATCAGATTCTTTTCTTCTCAGATTGGCAGCTTTACTATATTCAGAGTATTATCTCTTCTGAAGCAAGTAAAACCAAATATAGAAAGTTACCAGGTATCTAAAAAAGAGGCACTTTAAATTCAATCACATCTATTTATGCTTTATCACTAGACAAGGAAGAAACATGAATTATATATTGATGTTATTATTCCATATTGCTGCCTACAAAAGATTATGGACAATAACAGTGACATTATTATTCTTACTAAAATGTTTAAATTTTAAGAAATCTTTAGAATAGAAATTGAATAAAATAAATTTGCAGGTATGACTAATAGATTTGAAAGTCTTACTCTCTTTCCCTCTTTTATCTCTCTTGGTATATATTCAGCATTTCACTGAAATATGTTTAAAAAATAAAATTAAAACCTCTACCTAAATTTAAAGGACAGGTTGATAACCTTATATTTAATTATAGACCCTTACTTGACTAGGATGATGTTAAGGATAATGACAATATAGAAGTCTAAAAATATTTCAGAGAACTGTTCTGTTTAAGATACTAGCTTGTTTATCTTCAGTGAATAGGCAATGATATGGAATTCAAGAAAGCTCTTCCGGGCAAGTGACTATAAAAAAGGTGTGTATGTATACACCTACCCGACACCCACACATCTGCATTCCTCCACCCAATGCCACAATACACTGTGATGACCAGTTCACTACTTGGACATTTTGTCAGTCAACAGCAGAGGAAACTACCATGGTTCTTCCTTAACCAATGGTTAACACTTGGCTTTTCTCCAAAATGTAAGGAAAGGGAGAAGCAAAGCAGGACTAGCTGTTTCAACCCTAACATGTACTTCACATTATAGGGTGATGTAACATTTTCAAATAAACACCACTTTACCTGTATGATTTCTTTACATCACTAACCCAAGTGTATGTAGACATAATCTGGTAAATTTGCTTAATAGCAATACTGACACTCTTACTGAATAAAATTTTAAGTTGTTATTATTGTAGTTTTATATATTAGACTACTTTTGGCTCATTCATATACATTCTGGTTTATTTCATTTAACTAGCCTCTCTCTAATTGAGAGTCAGAAAATACATGTGTAGTAAAGCTTCTTTTTTAAACCATTGTTAAAAAAATAGTCAAAAAATAAACCACTGTTTACTAAGGATAAAGTTTTAAAAATCCTTTCATTGCTAGTGGCTATTCTTTCACGCTTGGAAATGTAACTGTTGTTCAGAATACTTTTTTTTTTTTTGGTACCAGGGATCGAACTTGGGTCCTTACACTTGCGAGGCAGAATACTTTTTTAAAAAGCAACATAATCCAGGTGTGGTGGTGCAAACCTGTAATCCCAGCACTCAGGAGGCTGAGGTAGGAGGCTGAGCACTCTGGAGTTTGAGGCCAGCCCAAACTGCATAGTCAGACACCCTGTCTCAAAAAAACCAAAAAAAAAAAAAAAAAAGCAACATGAACTTTCCATTAAAATATGGTGCATAGGACAAAAATTTGAAATTAGATTTTCAAGGGAAAAATTAATATACTTACCTTTGATTCGAGGTAGACATTTGCTGATGACATTTTTGTAATTTTGCATATGTAACTAACTAAAGAGATGGCACAAAGAATAAACAAGCTGTCATTAATTAATGCTCGAATAAATACAGTCCATTTCAATTGATTTTCTGGAACATCTCCGTGGACTAGCATTGCACAAGTCAAGTTCACCACTAAAAAGAGAAGGCTCGCCAATATAAAGCCCAAATGCAGTAGAATTCTGAAAGAAAAAAGGAGTTTGTTAGATGTTCTAAAACTAATTAGAAATTAATGTGTTATTTTAGGTGCAAGAATTTCTTCAGCTTAAAATGTTTATAATTTCATTAAATACAAATTTAATAATCTCTTAGTAACTTGAAATATTTGTGCTGCTATGAAATTAGTATCAAATTCATTTAAAAATGATATAAATTTTAAAGTATTAATTCAGAATGTTGTCTTGTAGATTTGAATTCATTTGTGTCTACCAGGAAGATGAATAGGACTATTTAACACTATTTCAAGCAGTCCTGGAGTTTTCATCTTTATAACTATTAAGCATATTTTCATTGAACTTTCTATTCTGATAATTACCAGACTTTTAAAATTTGCCTAAAAAATTAACATGCTGTATCTAAATTTAAATTTATCATCTAATAGTAATTTTAAGAGGTAAGAGAAGTTATTTTAAACAATATTCAATCCCATGAACTCCTGATTATGGTAAATGTTGCTTTCAAACTTGACTAAGGAAGAACATAAAGACAGGATATACACAGTTGGAAGCATTCATCAATACTTCACCTTCTTATAAAGGGGCCTATTTATTATGCATACAAAAAACTCACTTGATCTTGTCCCTGTAAGATAAATTAGAGCACCTGACTGAAAGATTCAGACACAGTGTGGCTATCCATATCAATCATCAGTAACAGCTTTTCGTACATCCCCAAATTAAGCACATATGGTCCAGAAATTTATTTTGCAACCCCAAATTTTCTATTTTGGATCACTTTCACTAGTGGGAACCATAAATCATCCACCTTTAGAAATAGTTTACAGAAGATAAATTGAAAGTAACATGCAATTTGTAAGAATCAAGCTTTGTAAGTATACATGCAAAGTACAAAGATTTTAGTTTGAAATCCAAAAAGCTCTTGAAACTGTATATCCAGGGATTAGAGTAGTTTAGGAAACCAAATCATAGGGTAGGTAAATGAGTTAGAATAGTCAGCAAGTTAGTGGGAGAATTAGGTCTAAAACCCAAATCTCTAGGCTCCACAGTTTAGCATTCACACTGTTGAGATTAATCAGTATTGAAACTTTACTTAGCTCATAGAACTATCGTATTAATGCTCACCCCAAACATCAGGATTTAACTTTAACATGTGTGGACCCTCAGGAGCCACATCTGACATCTGAAGTGGGGCAGTAGCAAAAAGAAAAAAGTATTAGCATGGCTGAAGGGAAAGGACTATGAGTTACCCGATTTACCTCCTTTGAACAAATCTAACTACTTGCTTGTCTATAAAACTAAGCTAAGGTGTCCTAAACAGCCCCTTTCTTTTTCCACGAGCAGTCTACTGTTAAAAATACTTACATCTTTTAGATACTAAGCATTAATATTAATGAGTTAATCCTTTAGATCTTTTAGGTAGAAATTTAGATACTCGTGAAACTTACTTGTGTTTGTCAAGCTCAGTGGCACATCTGACTTTACATATAACCTAGAAAGAGAGTATAAAAATTTTTTAAAAAGTGTAATATAGCAATCTCCAATTTGTTTTGACTTTGCATTTTAAAGCAATAAAACTACAAATAATAATAGCAAAAAAAAAAGTCCAGATGTTAAGACAAATTATTGTGAAGCAAAAAAAGGTAAGTTTCCAAAAGCTTAAAACAGTGAACAGCTTTCTTTTAAGTTTTAAATTTCTTTTTTTTTTTTGGAGACAGGGTCTTGCTATGTAGTTCAGGCTGGACTTGAACTCACTATGTAGCCCAGGCTGGCCTTGAACTTGCAGCAATCCTTCTGCCTCAGCCTCCCAGATGCTGGGACTACACGGTTGTGCCACCACAACCAGCCTTATGGTATCGTGCCCAGCCTTAAAATTCAAATAAAGTTAATTCAGTTTAAATGTTTATTGAACTTTTACTATGAGCCAGACATTGTGCTGGTGGCCAAAGTTTAGGCTATCCTAAACTTTATTACTCATGTTTTGCCCTAAAATAGAACTTCTTACTTAAATATGAATATGGCTGAGTGTTCACCAAGGTTATTCCCCTTTCTGATGAGATGAAGCAGTAACAGAAAATACAGGATCAAAAGTAAACAAAAAGATAATGAGCATAGATCCTATTTAGTAAACTTCCTTCTTTCATAAAGCCTTGCAAAAGCCAAGTGTTAAAGTAATGCAGGTAGGTAAACAGAATATGATATATATACATGGTAGATTCTGAGAGCATAATATGAAACGACTCAAGTCCTTACTGCTGAGCTTGGGCTTTGTTCTTTAAATAACAGGAAGACATTGAAAGTTTCCATACAGGTATTCCCAAATATGGAATTTTATTGATCTTGCATTACTGTACATGATATTACAAAGAACTACAGAATAGAATTAGGAAAACTGGTTACAAGAATACTGAACTAGGATATGAACTTTGGTGTCCTGGAAGGAAAGAAGAAAGTACAAAATGTTACAAACAAAAGTAGTATAGGCATTTAGCAATTTACTGATTTCATTCAAACACCTATTAACATCACATTTTTCTATGAAAGGCATCATGGAGTCATAAAAATCACCACTGTTTCTGCTCTCAAGGAGCTCATTACGTGGAAGAAATAGGTAAGCCATTTATTTTGATACATTTGACATAAGGGCAAAAGATGCTATCATAAGATATGTGAAGGGAGAAATATTAATTTGTCCTGGAAGAGGTTAGAGGTAAAGGTTAAGGGGAAAGGCTGTACAGAGAGGGAGGACTTCTAGTTGCTGTAGCAACCACCATTTATTTTCAGTCTCTCTATATTTGACTACTGTATTCCAGGTACCTTGTATAAGTAGATTCATACAATATTTGTCCCTTTATGACTGACTTGTTTCAGTTAACACAGTTGTCTTCAGGGTTTCTCTATGTTGTAACATGCAACAGAATGTCCTTTTCCTCAAGGCTGAATAATACCCTGTTGTATAACTATGCTATATTTTGTTCACTCATTCAACCCTCAGTGGACACTTGGCTAAAAACTTCTACTTTTTGGCTGTTGTGAGTAATGCTGCTATGAACATCTATGTTCTAGACATGATTTCTAAGAATCTTTTGACAGTAAGTTGTGTGATGTTCCTTTACCATTAAGTACTTCATTGTACATACTTCCTTTAAGAAGGAAAAAAAATTTTTTTTTTGGGTGCCAGGGATCAAACTCGGGACCTTGCACTTGCAAGGCAGGCGGCGGAACCACTGAGCTAAATCCCCAGCCCCAGAAAAAATTTTAATATAACCACAGTCTATTATAAAAGTCATAAAATTGAGAATTGGCAAAATATTATTATGTAATTTACAGATCTTATTTATATTTTTCAGCTGTCCCAATGACATCCTTTACTGGAAAAAAAATATCCAGGGTCATGTATTACAAACAAAATTCAAGTGTATTTAGTCTTCTTTAATCTTTATTTCTTTCCTTGTATTAACACAGCTCTGGAGAGTGCAAGCCACTGATCTTGTAGAATGTTTTTCAGCCTGAGTTTACTGCTGTTTGTTTGCTTATTGGTACAAGGAATCAAACCCAGAGCCTCTGCAATCAACTACACCCCCATGCCTTCAAAAAATATTGTTTTAAAAATGTTTGAGTCGGGGCTTTTCCAAGTTGCCCAGGCTGGGCTCGAACTTGGGAACTTCTTGCCTCAGTCTCCAAATGCTTGGAAAACAGGTATAGATCACCATGCCTGACTTAGCGCTGTTTCCCTAGCGTTACATTCGGTTATGCATTTTGGAAGAAATTGATGATGTTTCCCAGGGTACATGAGGAGGTTCGTGATGTTGATTTGTCCTGGTACTACAATGTTAAATTTGATTAACTGGTTGGGATGAGATCTGTGGGATTTTTCCACTGTTAAGTTATTGTTTTCCCCAGTGTGATTAATAAGTGTCATGTGAAGTGATATTTAGAAACTATGTATCTTCTATTCTTCAAACTTTCATCAACTATTTTTAGTATCTGTAGTCCTTGCCTGAACAAATTACAATAGAGCAACTTCTTTTTAAAAGGTAAACATGATCAGACTATTCTAGGAAAAAGTCTACACCACTTCAATACATGAAAGGTCTTTATTATCTAATCCTCCTTTCCCATCCTTGTATCCTTTTATCCCTCTATCTCCCTTCATACAGTCTGCTTATTCTGAAATATTTACAGCTTTTCAATAAGGGATTAAATTTCATATCTTCATGCCTTTGTACATATTTGTACTTTGCCAAAAATATACTTTCATGGTCATTTAACAAATTCCAACTCATCCTTCAAGACTTTCCCAGGGTGTCATATATGTCAGGTTAACGCCTCGGGGAAAGAGTATGCACTTCGTATCCTCACAGTACTCATCACATTCTGGGTGTTTATTTACATATTTATTTCCCTTTTAAGAAAGACAATAACTTATTCGGATTTATAGCCCCAGTTCCTAGCATAATGCCTCACTCACACTAGGTTTGCAGGAAGTGTTTGAATAAATGAGCAGCGAATTCAGGTCAGCCGCAAGTACTTTGACATAGTGGTGTGCTGTGGCCTGAGGGAGTGTGGGAAAGATGGCAGAAGCTGAACTAAGCTTTAACCCTCTATAGACTCTGTATCATGACTCTGTGTTTGAGAGATTTCTGAAGTAACTGTAAAGCATGAATTAGGAGAAGAATTCCAGATGAAAGACTGTTGAATTTGAATGATCCTACTAAACCCATATTCTTGGGGTTTGAACCTAAGAAAAAAAACAAAACTGTTAGAATGACAGTGGCCCTTCTGACAAAAAATTTAAAAGTCAAGTCATAGAATTGATTGTTATTTTTTTGTTTTGTTTTGTTTTTGGTACCAGGGATTGAACTCAGGACCTTGCGATTAGGAGGCAGGCGGTGGAATCACTGAGCTAAATCCCCGGCCCTTGATTGTTATTTTAAAAGTTTACTACTTCCAGGCAGAAATAAAACAAGTGAGTTTTGCAATGTAAGAAGGAAATTACAGCCACCAGCAGCAGTGATAGCTGAAACTCCAGATGAAGATATCTGAGGGAACTGTAGGATGAGATGTTACCTTGTGATATGTTCGCGTTTAATAGCTAAACAGGAGGTGGGCAGGGGTTACAGGCAGTACGTACAGACTAGAGGAGAGACTTCTGAACCCAGACACTGGGAGAACCTGTGTGGGAGACAGCTCTCAATGAGTGTCTCACAGTTTTGCATGTTCTGGATCTTATGGGCAAAAGGGTTTACAACAGGGCAAATATCTTTGAAAGCTAGAGATAGTGTTTACGTGAAGGTCAGAGGAAGATTTATTTCCCGAGTAGTATATAAAGACAGAACAGTTCCCTTCCTAAGGACATGCAGGGGGAATACTCCTCTCTCTCTGGTGACAATCTGCTCACATTCCAAAGTAAGTGTGGGGCCAGGGATTTAGCTCAGTGGTTCTGCTGCCTGCCTTGCAAGCTCAAGGACCCGAGTTCGATCCCCGGTACCAAAAAACAAAAACAAAAACAAAAAAACAAAGTAAGTGTCTAGCTGGGTCTGGTGGCGCACACCTGTAATCACAGCACTTGGGAGGCTCAGGCAGGAGGACAGCCATGAGTTGGAGGCCAGCCTGGGCTGCACAGCAAGACCTGTCTCAAAAAAAGCAAAACCAGGGCTGGGGATTTAGCTCAGAGGTTCTGGCGCCTGCCTTGCAAGCGCAGGGTCCCGAGTTCAACCCCCAGTACCAAAAAAACAAAAACAAAACACCAAACCAAACCAACAAACCCCACAAAGTGAACGTCTCTCTTATTGCAGGGCTCTTCTCCTGTAGCTCACTCTGCTACACCTGCAGATGACATCTGGCCCCTCACAGCGGTGCCCTGTGCACTGGAGCTTGGAGACCTGGTGTGAAACATTGGTGCTTTTGCCATGAGTCATAAGCGGTCCTTTTTGCTGACCCATGAATTGGATGCTTTTGGTCAGTATATGAATATAAAATGGTGATGAGCTTCTTTGTTTGATTCCAAGTAGAGTAAAAGTTTCTGATTCAGTTTCTGATTTAAAGATCTGTTGGCCAGAGATGTACAAGTAGAAAAGGTGAAACTCAAGGTAGTGATGGAGAAGAAAAGGAAAGAGTCCAACTGCTAATGAAGGCTCTGGCAAGTTAGCCATGAAAAGGAAGACACTCATTTTTGAGTCAAGAGGGAAATCTTAGAGGTCTATATAGAAAATCTAAAATAATTTACAAAGTAGCTCTTTGTTAAAATAAGAAATGTTGACATATGTGGATGCACACACATTTTGATATGTTTAGAAGAAGAATGCGGGAGTTCGGCAAATAAATATTAGTTTGGTAATTCAGTAAAGTGGGAGGCAAGGGATGTTAGATTTCAGCACTTGGAATATGAAAAACATGGACAGAAATGTTATAAAAGACTATATTGAGATACAGAGAATCCAGTTAAAGTCAGAGGCTTGACAGGAGATGCAGTCAGCATGGTTTTTCTCT